TTAAAAACATCAAAAAATTTAAAAAAATGGGTTGGTGAATTGGCTATTTGACTTACTAACGCATAAGGGTTGGATTGAGTTGAGATTTTTTTAACTTATATAAAAATAGAATTTTCCTCAACCCATATGAGTTAAACTATATGATGGACCTCATGGCACGGATGACATAGCATTAATGGCAACGAAGCTTGACGGTTGGTAATCATGAGCATGGTGACATGGAAGGAGCCCAATACTTCCAATCCAACATACCTAAAGACCCATTACAATATATTGGAGGTCCAATGACAAGAGCCCAAACTAAAGCCATGAAGCAAGCATTGTTCAGTCTTGTGCAAGAAGTTTAAGAGCTTGGAGAGCATTGGGGCACTCCTCTCAAGCCAAAGGAGAGTATCTATACGTGTATAATGTATTTAAGATTCAAACTCATGAAGAGTCAAGCCCAAGAGATGCAAACCCAAGCCTAATGCAAGAGAGACTACAAGTTGAGCCTCTTGCAAGTAAGGAGGCATGAAACCCTAGTAAAGAAGTCAAGAGTGACGTGATTTTAAATCCTTTATGATCTCTTAATTGTCTCTTAAATTATTTTCTATTTTAATAGTCATTTGATTTGATTTCCTATTTTGAGTCTAATCAAAGGTTAGAATTAATTATAGTATTAATTTCTAAATTTCGTAATCCCATAATTTTAGGATCACATCTCCTAAATTATGTAGCTAAATATTTTATTATTATTTTATATTATTTCTCCTTTTAATATTAGGAAATTAGGGTTTTAATTTTAGAAAATATTCTTTTCTATGAGCCTATATGAATTAAGTATGCTTCCTCTTGTAAAAACCACAGAAGTTGAATGAAATTATTCATTTTTTAGAGTTTATAACTCTTGTGAGCCTTAGTGCTTTGTGATGGCATTCGTGTGAGAAACAGACGTAATCAAGAGCGTGATCAACTTTTGTGGTGTCTTCGAAGGTTGAGATTCTTAGAGGCAGGTGCTCTAGAGGATCTTCTCTTGATCATTATCCTATTGTTTACTTCATATCTTTCTTTATTTCTGTCATAAATTTCGTCTCTTTCTTTTTGTTCTTGTATTTTTATTGTGTTTCAGGATTCTGTCCCTAAACTAACACGATTCTGCTTCTGCGTCCCCTATCACTATATGATTTGAGTTGGCCTATATTTCCAACTTTAGATTACTCACTAATTAGTCTCATGTATTATTACTCTTGTACTTGACTACATAGCATATTTTTTACACAGATTTTTGTGAGAACGATAGCTTTTCTGATGATTTCACTAGCTACTTGCCATGACATGTGCCCTTGCAAGGTTTTGATAGCTTTTAATACGAATTACTAATTTAATAACAAATGATTATTCCTAATTGCGACAAAACAGAAACATGTCCACAACCATTCCTACCGGTTGGTGAAGGGTGGTCTCATTTTTCCCATGTGATCTGAATGTCTCTCTCTATGACGGTCTTCACTAACCTAGTCTTTGCTTCTAGGGATGCTTTTGGTCATACATATGTTATATTATTATTAATATTAATATAATAATTTAGTGTATAATTATTATATCAACGATGGCATTCCCTTGGAACGAAGGGTGTAAGAGGCATCCACGTCGTTTATGTTTTTATTTTTAAATTAAAACTTCAAAAAGGAAAAAAGACCAACTTAATTAGTTCATTTTTAATATATGATGTAAAACCAGTATGTAATGGACTTTTAATTACCATTCCATAGATAGAGAGAGAGAGAGAGGGTGCTGACGCGCCACTGAAGTTGGAAGTTTGGAACAAAATAATTTGGTTTCATTTGTTCATTTTTCTACTGTTATTCCAACAAACAAATTGAATCTAACATTTTACTCCCTCATATCACTATTATAGGATACCAAAAACCTTTTGGCCTTTAATATAAAACAGCCAAAGGGTTACTTATTATCATTTTTCAATTTTACCCCATTATAAATGTAATTTTCTAGCTCATCGTTTACTGTGTATCTCTCTCTTTCTATTAGATTCAAGTTACAAAAAATTCTTATTTAAAGACATATTTAATAAATTAAATGTCATCCCTTAATTTTAAAAGGAAAAATTAATCATTTGATTCTTGTAGTTTTGACTCAATTATAACTCAATCCTTAAATTTTGACTCGTTATAATTTAATTCCTGAACTTTGCCTCTTGTAATTTAATCATTACAGTTTCAATCTCTTAAATATTGATTCTTATATTTTAAAAAATAAAATTATAAAGATTAATAATATTTTAAATTTTGATATTTATAAATATTAAAAGGGTTTAGTAATTTAAGATATTAGTAATAAATTTTACAATATTTTTAATTTTTATAATTTTATTTTTTAAAATATAAGAACCAATATTTAAGATGTTGAAATCTCAGAAATTAAATTATAAGAGGCAAAGTTTAGAAACTAATTTACAATCAAGTCAAAACTTTAAATACTGAGTTATATCGAGTCAAAGTTGAAAAATTGAGTTACAATTGAATAAAAACTATAAGAACTAAATAATTAATTTTTTTCATTTTAAAAATAGTTGAAAACACTTTATAATACTCTAAACTATAATTAAAAAAAGAATAGTTGAGTACGGACCGGGAGTATATGTCGATATACTATAGTGCTGTACATATATCTTCGTAATTAATGTCTGTCTCTGATTTTCAAACACCACAAATTTTAAGATTGATACAGTTCTGTAACAATTTCACCAGACAAATTCTTACAGCTTGTTTTCTGCGTGTGTGTGTGTAGTGCATATATATATATATATATATATATCACAGCTATATAAAGTACATGCATATGAGTCATAAATAATCTTTGGATTGGTTTGTTGAAGTACAAACGAAACACTTCAATTGACTGATTGGATACTGTGTTAAACTAATTAAAGGGTTTAATTAACGCAAGAATCAATGTTTGCTTAGGTTTCAAATTTCAGTGATCATACGGCAACAGAACGTAGTTTCTTGGTTCATTACGTGTCTGTGATTCACAGACAAACTTTGCCGCAATCATAGCCGAACCCAAGACTATGATCCCCCAATCATGGTTTTCTATTAATTTAATTGAACCCTAATCTGCATTACAAATAACAATAATGCTTGTTAATTGCGATCCCTTTAATTTTGTCTGCTACGTACGCTTATCATTTTAATATGCCTTCACCCATGTGCTTGGTCAAGTCAACAAACTGTGCCATGGATCAATACAATAATGCTACAACGTTAACTCATTCTCAGGCTCTCACTATCACGTTGATGTGCAAAGCATAGTCATATTCATTGAATAGTTGTCAGGTTTGTGATGACCTGGACTAGTATTCTACAGCAAGATACGTATACTACTGACGGATTTTTTTAATTAAATTATTATTTGTTTTAGAAAGAAAAACTTAATTTTCCTGTTTAGTATGTAGGCACGTACTTCTTAGGCTTTAAAAATCTTGTAATATCTCCCACTGGTGAAAAACGCTCTTCACAGTACTGCCTATTTCGCTTCTCTCTAAAAAGTAAATAAACAATTAACGTATTATCTGTGAATAAATTTTAGGTAGCATTTAAACTTTTAGATTTAAAATTTTATATTTAAAATTCTTTGTTTAGACAGTATAAAAAATTTTAAAGATGAAAAAAACATGAGCTGAAATTCAAAGCAAAAATAAAAGATTGAAAGTGACGGATTTACTTGTATTATTCAATCGAGGAGAGATGATATTGAGAGATGAGAGAAGAGGTGAGCTAGAGTAATAGAGGTACCAACAATGAAAAAAAAAAAAAAAAAGGCATTACAGGATTGGAGTAGCTAAAATTTCAAATTAGAGTTTACAGAGAATTTGAAATTACAAAAAAAAAATTATAATAAAACATAAATTCAATTCAAATCCACAAATTTTTATGTGTCTAAATGAAGAATTAATTTGATTTAGATCCAAATCCAAATGCTCACATGGCATCTGATAAGATTATTTGAAATATCAGCATACCAAATGCTATATGACTGCTAGGTATTCCTTGCTTTGTTCATGTTGAGTTAAGAATTGAATGAATGTATATGAAATCTTCAAGTTAATAGAGATGGAATAAAACCAAAATGATTAGCCTATGTTGGTACCTACATATATGTACAAATTATGGGGCAGACAATATATATTGGCTTATATATGTGAAATAGCCGTAACTTACTGATATTACAAGAGGTGCATGATAGCACAAAAGTTTCTATGAATTGATCCGATAATTAATATAATAATCGAACCACTGATGTTGTAAGTCATGGATCATTGTCCAATGGGATGCTGACAGAAAGCTAAGCCCTCGGGACTAAAAGTAAAAATGGTCTATAATCAAAGTTCATGTTTTAGACTAGTCAAGGTCATTTAGCTTGAGCATGCTGTAACACTAAAATTAGAAGTCTGATAGGACTCTGCACAACATATGGCTTTCAATTACTCTTCTCCTTGATGATAAGGGTGTGACAGATTGGAATATAATGTGGGATAAGAGTTTCTGATTAGATGCTTGAATCACAAGCATTCACTTAATGTCGAAGAAAAAATGCTGAGGATAAAATATAAGTGAACCTTATTGATAATGGTCTTGATATATATTGCGGAGATTATTAGTTGTTTAGCACTGAGTATCTGTAGCATTATTTTTATTTTTACATTTTTGGGCCATAGACCGACAAAGGGTCCTAATTCTGCCATTAATGAAGGCGACAAGCTCTTTGATTCCCCACTGATCTTGCAGATATATGTCCCTCTATTTCTCACTCTATACGATCCTCTTTTTCACTCAATAATACTACACTAGTTTGTATTTGCAGGAACAGTGAACCTCCCTTACAGATTTCTAATTTCCATTAAAAAAAAGGTCTCTGTCTTTCTCACCCTCTCACCTCACTTCGCAGCCTATATCTCTTCCTCTCTATTGCGTTCACTTGCACAGCCGCTGAGCAAATAGTTTCTTTCCTTTTCTCTCTATCTGTAACTTAACCATGAGCTTCCGTTCTTCCAACACTTCTCTTCATCATCATCATCATCATTCACGTGAGATCGATAACATTAATCTAGATCTTCTCCTTGAGCTGTCTTCATCATCTTCCAATAATTCATCTTCTCCACCAGCAGCTAATAATTACAGTATGGAGCCTCGTGTATTCTCGTGCAACTATTGCCAGAGAAAGTTTTACAGCTCTCAAGCTCTGGGAGGTCACCAGAATGCCCACAAGCTTGAGAGGACGCTGGCCAAGAAGAGCAGAGAACTCAGTTCCATGCAGAATTTTGGGTTCTCATCATCAGATCGCAGGTCTGGCACGGCTAGCAGCTTCAGTGGCTCGAACCATGTTGCGCATGTGGGCTCGATCAGTCATGGACAAGCTGGTGGGGTTAGCTATGAAAGAAGAGAGTTTGGCTACGGCGGTTCCAACTCCAGGTCTGAAAATAATGTTCAGGATCAAGATATTAACGGTCAACTTGACTTGTCTTTGAGGCTTTAATCAAGATTTCAATTTAGAACTGCGAGCTTTTAAAGTACCAGCCCTTGGGTTTTAAATATAAGGTGAGATTTCCATTTTGCAGAGAAAAATGAGAAACTTGGGGGATTTTTGCTCACTATGTAAAAGATAACTGTTTCTTCTGAGTATTAATTAATGATTCTGATAGGAACAACTGTGATGAAAAAAGAATGAATGTAGCAATGTGGGAGTTGATAATTAAAGCACATTGAAGAGAGACGAAATTGACGATCATGCTTTGGTACGTTGAGGCAATTTGTAAGCTAGCTTTATATATATGATGGATATATATATATATATATATATATATTAATTTTGATCGATGATTGTGTTACCATTTTTATTATCGTTTTGTCTGCTTTTTGGCATAGAAATTAAATACATAGTATACATGATAAATCTTTCACGCTCAGAATGATTTATATATATATATATATATTGTAGCAATCATTACGCAACTAAAATTTGTATTTATATGTGATTTAGATTTAGTGAGTAGCTTAAATCCATTCACTATGAATAGTATCTTAATTATAGTTATTAGATTTTATATAATTATTTATTAGATTTTATTAATATTTTGAAATTATTAAGATATATTTTCTTACAAAAATTCGAAATAATCATCACGGATAAACACTATTTATCCTTCTTAAAATTTCAGATTTTGTACTTTATTAATATTATATAACAAAATATCTAATAGCCATTCGATTAAATCCTTTTACAGGGTTCTAGCTGAGAATGATTTGCTCAATTCATAATGTTGTGGAAGCTAATTAATTTGCATACAATATTAAGTATGCAACAAGTTTTTTTTTCCCAAAACAAGTATACAATGGGTTAACTACATAATAAGCACATACGATATGCCAAATTAATATAACATTTTAAAATATTAAATTAAATTGTTGGTGGTAGATATGTCCTCAAAGAGGTACCCACAAGTTGCTTACCAGATTAATCTGGATCAAAGACCTAGGATACCAAAGAAAAAAAAATATTAAAATGTTCTTTAGACATTAATTTTAATTTATGAGTTGAAATAAGGAGATGAATAGATAATAACAATTCATCAATATATTTATGTATGAGAATGAGAAAATTAATCTGTAGATCCTACTTTTTTAAAAAATTTAAATTAAATCTCTATAGTTTATTTTATTTTAATTAGACTCTTATAATTTGATTGATTAAATTTGTTAATCCCTAAAGATTAAAATCGTTAATTTTTTCTTTTAGAAATGAAATTAAGAATTTGTATATTTTTTATTAAAAGATTATATAAGGACCTAAATTAATTCTCCCTTTGAAATGTAGTAATGTTTTGAAAATTACTGTGATTGAAAGATATGTGAAGTTTATTGAAAGTACCGTTTGACATTGGCTTAAGTTTACTCATATAGTAAGAATTGTGGATGAATATCAAATCTTAATTCAAAATCTTAATATTTAAGCTTATGGGTTATTTTATTTAACTGTATATTAATTATTATGTACAACTTTATCTAACGAGTGACTTCCTATATTGGTTTAAGTCCATTTGTGCTTGGATAATTTTACATTTTATAATTTAATTTATGAGATTTAATTATCTTCTCTTAATTTCATTTCAGTTTAATTTAATCATTTAATTTCTTCTAAAAATTATTTAAATATTTAATTTTATTTTAACATTCGACTTCAAACAATTCACGCGCGACTCTTTTTATGATCTTATTTAATAACAAGTAACATTGTCAACTTGTAATCAACTTGTTATAACTCAATCGTTATTACCCTTGTTCCCTACAAACTACCCCAAAACTGTCTTGTAAATTTCAAATAATATGCACATAGTTTTTATTGAAGGATTTAAATCCATTGAAGTTGATATGTTAATTTCTGTAAAGTTTACCTTTTTAAGAAAGAAAGAGAATATTTATATTTAATAAAAACAATAAAAGGAAGGAAATTACTTTAAAAGAAAAAATTTACTGAAATTCACATATCAAATAGTATGAGATGCAAGGGCGCGCCCATATGATATTGTAGTGATGAGACATTCATAAAAGGAAAATAATGTTAGCGTAAAAATAATATAAATCACGTGATTTTATAAGAAAGAGATGGGACAACATGAAATTAAGAGATAAAAATGCCTATAATTAAGTAAAAGATTAAATTGTAATGAAAGTTTAATTAAAAAATAAGAGCCGAAATTGAAACACGTACTTTTTGCCTTTTCAAAAAAGCACGTACTGATATTTTATCAAATGTGTAAAAGGAAATATAATCGGACAAGGATTGTTGGTACTTTGAACAGTACTCCTGATGTGGGTTAGATATGGTCGGCCATAATTGTAAGTTTCAACTTATGTGATCCATGTTTGTCATAGTTAAACTAGTTTCTACAATGTATGTTAAATATCGTTTCAATATTAAAATTAGGGGGAAAATTATATAATTAAGACAATGGTATAATACTGAGATGAGATTATAGGAATCTTCAAGGTTGTAATCATATGAATTGCTGACCTAAGTTGTTGTTGAAGATGAAGAAGATGATGATAATTAAGAGAATGCATATGGTCCACCGGATTTAAAAGTCTTTACGTCCACAAAATATTTTCTTTGTGTGGGACATAATGTGGATGTGAATCAAACACATATATGATGATTATATTGAGCTAAGCTAGAGGTGGAACTTATTTGGGATTTTTATTTTCTATTGGTTTAACTATAAAAGAACAAGATGTTCAGTCTCATTCTTGTTTTAGCCCAAGCAACATCTTCAAGTCCTTTTTTTGGACTCTTTCAACTTCTTGTAAAAGTTTATATGCAATGCAAAGAGTGCGTGTTTAGTTTCCGTTAGTCACAAATTTATTTAATAAAAATTAATTTAGTAAAAGATAGTTGTTGTAGTAAAATTTGTGTTGTAATTTTTTTTAGAAGTCAGTAAGTTTTGAATTATATATACAATAAAATGTGTTTTTGAAAGTACAATTAATAAAAAGGACATTAATTTATAATAATTTATAATTTTTGTTACATAAATATAATATATTATAAATATTTAAAAAATGTGATAAAAATTTTAAATAATATATAAAATTTGATATGTTAAATAATGAAAATTACTTACATATATAGAATATTATATACATATATACATACATATAAAATAACAATTACTTTACTCCAATATATCATTGTTTTAATTGTTAAAATATCTAAGTATCTGAATGCATGCAAGCTTCTATATTCTCATGCTATTTAATTAATAAATATACATGGAGAACATTGATATTTCAAGAAAAAATGCAAAGTCAATTTAAGAAGTTGAGAAAAGTCACATTGGCTAAATATGTTGTAAATGTAATTACGGTGCGGGCGTATCAAAGATAAGTCTCACGTTGACCAGATGAGAGGATCTCCAAGGATTTAAGTACTAAGAAGAAGTAAGATGGTAAATGGACCTAGATGGGGAGAGGTCTTAGCAGACTCTTTTTGCAAAAATACTTTTGACAAAATTAATTAAAAAATATTTATTTAAAAAGAGCTTCCCAAAAAAGCCTACATTTACCTCACTTTAAATTTGAATTCAAAATATTCAATATGTTTTCCCTTAATTACACGTTACTCTTTTTTACTTTTAATTATCACCTTTTAATAGGCTGATTAACGTAGTTGCATCATCCAAAATCATCCGCTTCAATGCCAATTTATTTTATTCAAACGGTGGCATTATTTGTCATTTACCACCCATTATTGCATTTGAATAATTGAATGGATTTGCTTGTATTGATTTTCAAAATTCTCAAATGGTGGCTTTATCCTGTTAGCTTCAACCGCACATTATTTCTTTTAGTGGTTAAAGCCGGATTTGCTCCTACGTTCTTGACCAACGCGGTAGTGATTAATTATGGAGTTTTATTTAGTTAAAATTGGTGAAAAGATTGTGTTGTTCGTATTGCCTAAATTGTCCTTATAGCCGTGCGTGCATGTAACCGGTGCTGAGCCTTTGAGTTTTAAGCAACTCTCTTTCTCTCTCGTGTTTTGCTTTTTGAGTTCAATTTCTCATAAATTATTTCTGTTGTTCTACCACTTTTTATTACATGAGAGTTTCGCTTAATTTAAGAAACTCGACAATTATGTCAAAATTGTTCTTAAAATAATATCTTAATTAGGTACAACTTGAAAAAAATTTTAGACTGCAACCGCTAACAGGATGTCGATCCAACAACATGCTCAAAGTACTTTCGAGAGCTACTTTTATCTTATAATTTTTCTCCAAACAATTTTTAACTTTTGAGAGTGCTTTTGTCACCTACGTTCTCAAATTAAAAGCTTGTTTACCAACCCGAGTCACTTCTTTGTTAATTATGTTCTCGATGATACTGTGAGCGTGCGTGGATAGGTATGCACCGTTTTGTGTTAGGAGTAAATTATTAATTTTAAAAAAATTGAAGTTATATAATTTTCTTTTTTGGTCACAAAGGTATAGATTTATTCCGGTATTTTGGAGTTATTTTTTAAAATTGTGTCGAAATCAGACAAAATAAAGTTTCTTTTCTATTCAAGACGGCAGTCGAATTTCCTTTGAAAGAAAATATTGTGTGTACGAAATTTTCTTGGATTGTATTGAAATCGCATTATCTAACCTATTTTCAAAATATGTGCAAATGTTTCATAAATATTGGTTATGTGTGATTTCAATAAAATTTTGGTAGATCTATTTATTATTTACCCTTTATTTTCCTCAGAAGTTTGATTAAATTTTAAAAATAAAAAAAATATGTGTTTAATTTTAACAAATTTAAAAGGCATCCGTGTTATATTTTTTGTTAAGAAAAGTTATTATAAATTTTGCAAATATATTAAAAAAACGTTAATTAGAGGAATTCTACATAATTTATTTTTAAACTATGGGCCAACACATACTTTTAATTCTTTAATTTTATATAAATTTTATTTTATTTTTTAATTTTATAAAATATTTGTTATTCATTTAATCCTATTAGTAGTTTTAATAACAATAAGTGCATACATTAAAATTTTAAATATTGACAAAAATATTTTTACATGTTAATATATTAAATTTAATTTTTTTAAATAATCATAATTGACACGCAAAATAACCATTTAAAAATGTAAATTTTTTTATTTTATTTACAAAAAAATGAAAAAGCATATTTCTATTA